CAGTTGCACGTAAATAAATGAAGTTAGAACATTCCCTCACTCTATACACAAAAATAAACTCAAAATGGCTTAAAGACTTAAACATAAGACAAGACACTATAAACCTAGAAGAAAACATAGACAAAACATTCTGACATAAACCTTAGCAATGTTCTCCTAGGGCAGGCTACCCACACAATAGAAATAAAAGCAAAAATAAATGGGACCTAATTAAACTTACAAGCTTTTGCATAGTAAAGGAAACCATGAGTACAAGAAAACAACCACCTTTGGAATGGGAGAAACTATTTGTAAATGACACAGCTGAAAAAGATTTAATTTCCAGAATATATAAACAGCTCATACAACTTAATAACAACAAAAACCCAATCCAAAAATGGGAAGAAGACCTAAACAAGCAATTCTCCAAAGAAGACATACAAATAGCCAATAGACACATGAAAAAATGCTCAATATCACTAATTACCAGAGAAATGCAAATCACACCTACAATGAGGTATCACCTCACACCAGTCAGAATGACCATCATTAAAAAGTTCACAAATGATAAATGCTGGAGAGGATGTGAAGAAAAGGGAACCCTCTTTCACTGCTGAAGGGAATGTAATTTGGTGCAGCCATTATGGAAAACAGGATGGAGATTCCTCAAAAAAACTAAAAACAGACTTACCACATGATCCAGCAATCCCACTCCTGGGCATATATCCAGAGGGAACTCTAATTCAAAAAGACACATGCACCTCAATTTCATAGCAGCATTATATACAATGGCCAAGACATGGAAACAACCTAAATGTCCATCAAAAGATGACTGGATAAAGAAGCTGTGGTATATTTATACAATGGAATACTACTCAGCCATAAAAAAGAATAAAATAATGCTATTTACAGCAATATGGACAGACCCTGAGATCATCATTCTAGGTGAAGTAAGCCAGAAAGAGAAAGAAAAATACCATGATATCATTCATATGTGGAATCCAAAAAAAAAAAAAGAGGACACTAATGAACTCATCTACAAAACATAAACAGACTCATAGGCATAATAAACAATCTATGGTTACCAGGGAGGGGAAGGGAGTGGGAAGGGATAAATTTGGGAGTTTTGAGATGTGCAAATGTTAACCACTATATATAAAAATAGATTTAAAAAACAAATTTCTTCTGTATAGCACAGGGGACTATATTAAATATCTTGTAATAACTTCTAATGTTATGAAAACAAATATACATGTGTGACTGGGACATTATGCTGTACACCAGGAATTGACACAGTGTAATTGACTATACTTTAATAAAAAATAAACAAATAAAAATTGAAAGAAAAAAAAGAAGCAAAGACTTCCCTTATAGTGTGCACCATCTAATGGCAACTTAGATCTGCATTTGTATTATTACAGTTCTACAAACCAAGAACACATTGTCCAAACTCCAGAAGATGACAATCTTGATTCTTTTCCATATGCATGCCAAGATAATCTTTATAATACCATATTCATTTTGGAGTACACTGTAACCAGAAATGTGAATACAAAATGTTCAAAAAGAGCACAACACTAAACAATTTACAAGATCAAAAATGAAAGATTAATTTTGAGGACAAGAAACCTTGGCTTTCTAAATCACTGTCTTTTGTAGAAGTACCTGCAATGAGCCATGCTTTGGAAAGATTAGCAACTTAATAGGATATAAAAAAAAAATCTGAAATAGGGTACCTTTTTCTACAAAGGAAGTTCAAGTCTCCCTACCTCAAACTTTTTTCCAGGTCCTGCTTCCTTCTTATCATCTTGGTGCCATGCCTCTTCCACTCCAGACGCAACCACAAAAGCAGAGAAAACCTCACAGGTTCAACAGGTCTTATCACATTCCATTAATTGCAAGACAAATTTCAGATTCCTTGAATGTGCCTACGCTATGCCCTACACAATGGAGCATACAGTAAGTATTTGTTGAATGGTTGAATCTTCTCCAGAAGAAAATGCGTATGTTTAACATTTTCTACCTCCCATAATACTACACTACAAATTATTATGGCATCAGAATAATGTAATAAAACAAATTTTTCACCTTAAACCACATGATGGAAAAGTTATAATTTACAATTTTAAAAATTCTACCTCCAAGGGGGGAAAAAAGAAAGACATGTATTTTTTTTTGCATTTTTTCAACATCTGAGATTTTTTTTTAACGTTTTTTATTGAGCTATAATCATTTTACAATGTTGTGTCAAATTCCAGTGTAGAGAACAATTTTTCAGTTATACATGAACATATATATATTCATTGTCACATTTTTTTCTCTGTGAGCTACCACAAGATCTTGTATATATTCCCTGTGCTATACAGTATAATCTTGTTTATCTATTCTACATTTTGAAATCCCAATCTGTCCCTTCCCACCCCCTGCCCCCTTGGCAACCACAAGTTTGTCTTCTATGTCTATAAGTCTATTTCTGATCTATATTTATGTTTTCTTTTGTTTTTGTTTTTTTTTAGATTCCACATATAAGCAATCTCATATGGTATTTTTCTTCCTCTTTCTGGCTTACTTCACTTAGAATGACATTCTCCAGGAGCATCCATGTTGTTGCAAATGGTGTTATGTTGTCGGTTTTTATGGCTAAATAGTATTCCATTGTATAAATATACCAAATCTTCTTTATCCAGTCATCTGTTGATGGATATTTAGGCTGTTTCCATACCTTGGCTACTGTAAATAGTGCTGCTATGAATGCTGGGGTGCAGGGGTCATTTTGAAGAAGGGTGCCTTCTGGATATATGCCCAGGAGTGGGATTCCTCAGTCATATGGTAAGGAAAGACATGTATTTTTGACACCAGTTTATGTAGCTATTGGCATTCCAAGAGATACCACAAAAAATTTATCTGAGTACAGCTGACTCCTGAACAACACAGGTTTGAACTACGTGGGTCCACTTATACCGGATCTCTTTCAATGTTAAATACCACAGTACTTCACCATCTACAGCTGTCGAATCTTAAGCACAGAGAACTGCGAATACGGAGGAATCTTGGCTATGGAGAGCCGACTGTAAATTATACCCACACTTTTAACTGTGCGAGGGTCGGTGCCCTTAACCTTCCCATCGTTCAAGGATCAACTGTATGCTCCTTTAAAGCAATGATTTTTTTTTAAATAATGTTCTTAACACATTATAATTTCTTACAGTTTTCTTTGTAATGTTTAATGAAAATTTCACAAAACCATACATCTTTTTCTTTATACAACCAACAAACTTTCTGAATTAGATACGAGAAATTAGTTCTGTTCAAATGAGGTGGCCCGTTGCTTTAATAGCAGTATTCTCAAGTCAGCGAAGGTTAAAAACCAAGAAACAACAAAATAAACATATTCTTACATACGCCACAAAAAGTTCCCTCAATATCTAATTCACAAACTGAAATGTTTGCTCCTAATTAACTGAACTGTTAAAATATCTGAGAGCAAATACAAAATTAAAAACTACACTTTACACAGAGCTTCCTGGAAGCAGAAACCAATCAAAAGAAGTTAATCCCTATGCATTAAAAACTACAGAAAGCCTACAAGAGTCAAAATTCTGACAAAAATATTTCCTAATATTAAGCAGTATTTTTTAAAACACAACTTATAGTTGCTAAGTATCAATTTATCAAAACAGGCAAGGATAACCTTATCTTGACAAAATTCAGAATACTGTTTCTTCAACATCCTAGAAGACAGCTTGATGCACCATACTCTTCCATCTGCTTTGTTCTATTTCCTCATGCCCCAAATGGAAATTAAACCCTTCCAGTAACAGCCAAAATTTCATCAACCACAGGAAAGTACTCAGAGCAGAGAAATAGAATGACAGGAATAAGAGGGAGACTGGATAGATGGAACAGCCCTGGCAATGACCTTAGAGTACATGTTGAGAGAGAAAATCTATACAACATGTATAGAAATTGCGTTAAATAATTCTATTCCCACTTACCTGATGAGCTCTCAGTAAACACTGTTAATGTCTGTCCTCCAACACTTTGTAAGACAAATGGATGTTCTCTAGGAGCACTGACTGAAGCTGGTTTTCCGCCAATATCATGAATATTTGCAAGATCCTCATTCAAAGTAAATGACACCTAACACACAAAACCCAGAGCTTATTACAACAGACTTTTTTATTTAAAGTATCTGTACAGAAATTCTGATTATAAATCAAATACTTTTCTAATGTGAATCTTTTCCATCTTATTAAGCATTTTTTAAAAATTTTATCAATCTTTAATCATTAGTCATAAAAAGAGAATCTAGTCCCATTTGTCAGAATAATGGAGCTAATCTACCACTATAAAGATACACATTGTTTAGACAAATGTTTCCTCTGGTCTATGGATGAAAAAATTCTATTTCTAAAATAGAAATAAATTTTTTTCCTAAGGTGTGTGAAGTCAAAGGACCATGTCTTGTTATATTTATATCTTTAAATAAACGAAATAATTTGTCTATCTATCCATCCATCCATCTGCTAGCCAAGTGCCTGGCACAAAGTAGGAAAACAGTATTTGCTGAATGAATGAACATTTTAACAATATTAAGAAAGCAGCTGTACTTCTTGAAGCAGGGGAAAGTGACCTTATTTATTCTAAAGCTTAAATACTCCCATGAGCAGAGGATATCTTTCCTTTTTAGGTCCAATGACTCCTGTATGAGTACACAGTACTGTTTTATTTTTGAATATTTAAATAAATACAACTAAATATTTATAAGGATAACTCAATATTGAGGTTTAGAATAAAAAAGACACAGTAGGTGATCTTTCAAAATGATTTTCACCATATGCCAGATCTCCCCAGATTTTATATTAAAAGGATTTATAAACTTAAAATATTCATCTCCCAACCATGTAGAAAGATTATGAAATATTACTTAAATATCTCTATCATGTGTCAGGTACTGAAATTACATTCTGGACTTAATGAGTTAAAGTCTACAGTCTTTAAAAATACAAATCAAATGCATTTGCTACACTGAAATATTGTTAAAGTATTACTGAAGCAACACTAATTGTCATAGTTTCAAGAGAGGGGATATTTAGGTCAAAGTAGAAAAATGCTAAGAATGAACAACCAGAAAACAGCCCATTCACTCATACAAGAGTGGCATTTATAATACTACGGGCTCCTGACCATCAGCCACCAGTTTGATGTGGAGTTTCCCAGAATGCAAACACTACCGTCTCTTTACTACTACTAACGCATAGTAAAATCTCAAGTTTTAAACAAAATTTTCACAAAAATAATCTTACCTCCGTTCGTCCTTGATTCCTGAAAGAGATGAAAGAAAAATTTAATTATTTAATTTCATGTTTCTTTCAACTGAAAGCTAAGAACTAAAAGAACACTACTTCATATTTACTAAGATAGTACATTTACAAAGATTAATATTTATTTACCCTTGGCTGTCCTAACTACTCCAATTTGTACTCCTATAGGAAAAACAAATTCCCATTACTCCCACACGAGTATTTTAAATATTGTGAGTTTGTGTCTCTTAACATTATTACAATCTGTCCTAATAATACTTTATCCAAATGATGATCTTACTACAATTCTTATCTTTATTTCTGAGCATTTTTAGCACTCAGCAACACGTGAACGGCATATTTAATACCAGATATACAGTACTTCAGCAAATTTTGCTATTTTGTCCAGCTGAAGAAGTTTATTTACCTAACAGTTATACCTACAGTATAGAGGTCCTTACAAAACTTTAAAATAGAGTTACCATGTGATCCAGCAATCCCACTCCTGGGCATATATCCAGAAAAGACAAAAACTCTAATTCAAAGACTGTAAGATTTGGCAACAATGTGTCCCCAATTCAGCATGACAACAATCCCCTCAACATGCACAGTCAGGCACTGAATTCACCACAGCCTCTTCCCAGTCAGTCCTAGCTCTGCCCGCTGAGACGGTCTGGGAGCAAGGCGGTGTCCAGATCTTAGCTTCTAAATCCCATTTTCTCTAGAAGGAACCAGAGCTCCATGGAGAAATGACTGACTCCAGGGCTCAGACAGAAATGGACAAGATGAGTCTAAAACATCTCTCTGTAACAAAAAGTAAGTCCTCAAAAGAATGATGAGGACATGTCACAAGGATATGGAACTTATACTATTGAACTGTACACTTAAAAATGGTTAAGATGGTAAATGGTTAAGATGGATTACATGCGTTCTTTACCACAATAAAGAAAAGAAAGATCATGGGTGCCAGCTAGAAGCAGCTTCCACTGGCTAAACTTTGGACAATTTGAACATCAGAATAAATGATGGTAGCAAACTGTGATCCACTGAACAAAACTGGAATCCGTGAGTTCATACTAACATAAATAGATAAATAAATATGGAAAATTTGATGAGGAATGGAGTATTTCTATAGTGTCAAAGTACCACCCCACAGAATTCTTAATTACAAAGGGGAAGAGTAAATTGACTGTGAAAAACCTTAGAAGATACTCCTTAATCAAGTCATCAAAGTTACCACTACCACAATGAAACAAATGAAAACATGCAAATCTTGTTAGAATACAGGAAGAACCCAGCTTCACTTCTGTAATATACTTGCCAAAGATGCATAACCAGAATCTAACCATGAAGAAATATCAAACTCAAATTTTATAAAATAACTACCTTAAAAACATACACAGTGTTGATGTTGATACAGTATATCACAGTCAAGGAAAGACTTCCAAATGTTCCAGATTTAAGGACACTAAAGAGGTCTGATAACAGAAGGCAAAGTGAGATTGTGGACCAGACACTTTTGCTATAAAACATCATTCAGACAGCTGGCAAACCTAGAGTGAAGTCTGAAGATTAGGTAGTAGTACTACTTGATGTTAATTTACTGATTTGGAAGAGTGAACTGTGATTACACAGGAGAATGTCCATGTTTGTAATAGTTTTTTTTTTCCAATGAGGCATATACTTGAATACATTTTGAGTTTAGGAGATATCCCTAAGGGAAACTTCCACTGCTTTCTTTAGAGATTTAAATATTATTTATTATAATAATAACAGTGAAATAGTTAATGTGGCTTTCAATATTTCTAACTTTATAAAGATCTCTTGTTAATATCAATGTACTATACATTAGAAGATATGGACTTACTCAAATTACATTCTTGAAGTCACAGGAGAATGCTGCATTACATGAGTGTACATGGTGAAAAAGTTCTTTCTATTGTTCTCCAACTTTTCTGTTGTTTGAGATTGTTTTAAAATAAAAATATTAAATAATTTTTAAATGTGCCCAGTTTACTTAATTAATTCCTTACCAAAAAATTTGAGAATGTTACTAATTTTTCTCTATAACAAACAACACTGAAATGAATATCCATGTACATCAATCTTTGCATCACTAACTTGTTACGTCCACAGGGTAAGTTCCTAGATATTGATGGAACAGCTGGGTCAAAGTCATCAACATTTTATTATTAATATTTCTAGCCTTCTCATTATCCTAGTCTCACTCTGCTGGATAAGTCTGTCGGTGTCTTTCCGTAAGGGTAGCACCAAGAACTGAACATAACGCTTGAACTGTGAGTTAACTGGCAGAGAAAACAGTAGGATTATTATTCTACTTAGTTTTGAGCAGCAATGTGTATGTGTGCATGTGCATGTGCATGTGTATGACGTGTATATACACCTGTGTCTGTATATTATGTATGTATGTGTTGCCAGACTGCCCTTCAAAGTTTGGACTGATTTAAAGTCCTTAAACAGTATAACATTGTTCTAAATGTAGTCAATTTTATAACAAAAAATTATTTCATTGATTTTTATTTGCATATTTTCTATTATTAGCAGGCCCCCCTATGAACCTGAGTGTTAAATGTGTTTAGAAATAAAGTCAGAAATTAAATGTCTCTGAGAGAAACTGTATTAGAACAGATAACATGATTGTCAGTAAAATACAATGTATATTAAACATTTTGAAAACTGAAGTTTTTTGAGGCAGGTGATGTGGAAAGGCTGGTTTTAAAATTAAACAGGCTAAAGCAAAACTATGAACCAACTAAAATGCAGTACACATCAGATGTCCAAAGGCATAAAAATAATCCAAGTACAATGGTTTGGGAACATCACATAAGTTGTCCAAATGTTACCAACTGTTAAAATAAGTCTGTTACTCTCATCTTCATAATTTCAGAACTTCTCAACTTCATTCATAACTTGACTCTTACTTTTTTCAGGTATAAACAGAACCACATTTGGGAACAGCTGCATTCCCAGCTGCGTGTTTTCTCCCTCCCCTCTGCTTCTACCAATTCCTTTACCCCACAGCTCTGGGTCTGCTGGAACAAACATCCACACCATGTATTTCTTCCTAGCTTCTGGCCTATTGCAAAGCAAGCTGCTGCTGCTTAACTTTAGGATATCACATGGGGAGGGGAGGTCCATACCCCCATGACATCTGACATAATGCAGGGTCTACTGTCTGTACTGTGTAGTATGTGGCATGACAATAAGTGAACACTAAGTATTTTACATGCACTGAACCTATGAGGTATTAATACCATTTCTTTTTAACAGATAAGGAAACAGACAGGGTAATAAGCAAAAAAAAAAGTCACACAGCTAGTAAATGACAAGCTCTGGATGAAGCCCAGAGCTGACCTGAGTCCATACTCACAACCAGTATGCTATACTGCCTTTTTAAAACCTTAGCTGTTTCTCATTTTTCACCCTAATATACTCTTTTTTTAACCACACATATAACCCACAAACTAGTTAATCTGCCTCTAAGAATCAACAGCTGGTTATACATCTTCTAGTCTTAAAAATATCTGAAGACAGTTTCACCTGGTTTGCCCTAAATGTTCTCTTTACAGCCATAGTAACTTCAAACATTCCTCACAGGAAACTGATTTTAGTTTTCTTTTTGGCCTAGTCTCACTCCACTGAATGAACTTATTTGTCCATGTCTCCAACAGCAGCTCTAAAAACCGAAAACAATGTTTGCGCTGTAAGCTAACTGGCAAAGAAAAGAGTGGGGTTATCATCCCACTTCATTCTAAACAACACTCATCTATTAGTGGAGCCTTTTGTCTATAGCCACGAAACCTTGATGACTCACGTTTAACTGAAATTAACTGAAGTCTTGATAACCTAGTCACATGCACTGCTAAGCCATTCCTCACTCATCCTACACTTAATAGTGAATCTAGTAATTCAGTAAGAGGAATGAAAACTAAGCAAATGAGAAACATAAACAAGATAGCTAGGAGACCTACTCCAGAGCAAGCTGTTTTCAAGCTTTTCCATAGCAATCTTAGGGTACTAATTACTATAAATCTCTTCTCATCTTTAAAAGGATCTAGATCTTCTATAAGGCAAGACTGGTATTTCTTGTTAGGTAGAAAACCTGCTAGATCTTTTATCTACATATAAAATACACATACACACATCTGTTTTTATTAAGGGCAAACATATAGTTTATTGCCAAAAACAGGACACTCTGGAAAGTGAAAGGGGGAATATTATTAATAATTGCACAGGAAAAACAGGTAAACCGGGGACTGTAAAACATGAAACTAGCCGTAACCTGGCATGGCCACTCTATGCATATCAGATGTGACTGTAAAATATCTGCTTTAAATTAAGGAAGAGATTGAAATTTCCCCCAAAGGATGATCAAGAAAAATCACAGCACACCCATTACTGCTTATTTAGCATGCTGTCTTTAATATTTACGTCAGGGACCAAAGTAGTACTTAGCGCTTGCGAAGTTTTCCCTAAAGCCTGGCTCCTTTTACTCTATGTCCCATACTAGCCCACTCCTCCCACACAAAAGAAGGATTTTACATTCCTCAGCTATGTATTTTTCTTTACACAGAGGTTTCCAGGAATTGACAGTAGGGAAAAGTAGGGAGTCTAAACTTCGAAGATTAAGTACCTGTCCAAAGTCTCATTAACAGTAGGTGACAGAGCTGGAACTGGTATTAGCTGGAATTTTCTAACTACTCAAAGGCCTGAATTCCAGTCCAGTTCTGCTACTGAATGTGTAGTCATTTCTTTTTTCTTCTTTTTTTTTTCCTCCTTAATGGAGGCACTGGGCATTGAACCCAGGATCTCATGCAAGCCAAGTACACGCTCTACCAGCTCTATCACCGAACCATACCCTCCCACCCCCAAATATGTAGTCATTTCTTTAAGAAAATACTGTCTCTACCTAACTTCAGAACTTTGCATATGAAAGCTGGCCTGTTTCCAATAAAAATCTTGTTAAAACAAATGGAAGAACTAAAAGATTTACCCAGAACAAATGCAAGTAAGATACAGAACAAAATATTTAGGGCACAAACACATGAAGGTATCAAAGTTTTTCACTCTAAAGACACGACATCATCCAAGAACACAGCATTGTTCCTTCAAAGAACAAAACCCACAGGGTGTCCACCAAATCCAAACTCCACAGCTGGCTGGCTTTAATGAGGAAACTTTAAAATCATCTCCCCCAAAGAATAAGCTTTGCAAAGAGTGGGTATTTCAGGCAAAAAGAGGTCTAGGCTCTGTACTACGGGAGAGCAAGCAGGAAAAAGGTAAGCAACTCTCACATTTAGAACTACAGCTTAAGGAAATAAAAGAATAAAACGGCTATTGTTACTGGTTTGTCATAGCAGTTTTCATTTACTGAGTCAACAAAAATTCACTGCCAGGCACTGCTCTAGACCCTGGAGAAACAGAAGTCAACAAAACAAAAATCCTGACCTGTGGCACTTCTAATCTAAGAGGAGAGATGGACAATACACAAACAAGCAAATACACAGTATGTCAGATGGGCACAGCAGAAGCTGAATAAATATTTATTAACTACATGAAAGAATGACGGTAAGTGGTACAGGGGGGAAAAAAGAGTACAGGAGATGGCACAGGGCGGTCAGGAAAGGCCTCGCGGAGCTGATATTTAAATAAGGACCTTAAGTATGGAGCAAGGTGTAGAGATTTCTAAAGGAAGAGTGTTCCAGAGAGAAGGAGCAGAGGAATAGTAATGATTCAGTTTGAGATGCTTCTGAGACATCCAAGCGGAAACGTGACGGAGGCAGTCAGATATGGGTCTGAAGATCAGGGTAGAGGTCAGGCTTGAGATATAGCTTTAAGTACACTGGTAGGTCATGAAGCCAGATGAGACCTCCCAGGAAGTCACTCAAAAGAGACAGAAGGAAAGAACAAAGACTGAGCCTTGGGATCCAATAACATTTACAGATTGAGGCCATGAGAAAGAGCCAGCAACAGAGACTGAGAAGGAACAGCCAGTGAGAGAGGAGAATCAAGAGACTGTTGTCCCGGAAGTGAAGTGAAGAAAAAAAGCATTTGAGGGTAGAAGTGATCAACTATGTCAAATTCTGTTGAAGGTCAATTAAGAAGGGCCGCTAGCTGACTCTTAGATTTAAGAATGTGGACATGGTAGATTGTTCTAAGAAAGGAAAAAAAAGGACTCCAAACTCTTTGCTGCGATTCCCACCAAGAGGTGGAGGGAGGGTGGAGTATATTACAAGTTACATTTACATTTGGCAAACATGATGCAAGCACAGGCTTGCAACGTGCTTAGGTACTGGGGCTTCCTTCTCTTTTACTAGGAACTGTTTCACCATGATGTGACTCAGCATGTGGAGATGAAACATACGTGGCTGCTGCCCCAGCTGACAGCAAGCCAACTACCGGACACACGAGTAAGGCCATTCTAGCCAAGAAGACCAGCCAGGTCAGCCCCAACCAGAACTGTCCAGAACTGCCCTACAGAATTATAAGCAAATAAAACAGTTTTTGTTCTAAGCCACTGAATTTTGGGGTGGTTTGTTATGAAACAAAAGCTAAATGATAAAGAGGATACTGATGGCAGACAAGAGCTATTTCAATGGAGTAGTGGGCGTGGAAATTGGATTAGAGCTGGATTAAGAATGAATGAACAGAAAGAAGGGAACACAAGGTCTCTGGCTGACACCAGCTCAGCTATGGCGGCTTCCCTTTCAAATAAGGCCATTTCCTCAACCAGGAAACACTCTTACATTGTTTACTAGGTGCTCCCTACCCTCTTCCAAAGCCTCTATAAATAGGTCGGTGGCACAACGGCAAAATCCTCCTACAGAAGCTCTTCACTTGGTGCATCTAGCTATGCCCAACTCAAGCATACCTCCTCACAAGACGTGGAGAGGATGGAGGGATAAGGGACCACACACTCTGCTACTGCTCAGCCAGCAGCTTTCACCGATAAATTTTACTTGATATTTACAACTATCACTGGAGGCGTGCGTGTGTGTGTATGTGTGCACACACGAATCCTTACAGGGCACCTGACCATCTCTTGAGAAGCGTTGGCATGCTCATTACTTCTTATTTTCCAGATATATTCCCTGCCTGAAAAGGAATTCTAATTACATTTAAAAGTACTTGTAAAAAATACAAAAAAGTTTTACAAAATGTCAAAAATACATAAATAACTTACTTGGCAATCCGCAGTTTTCCGACTTCACCTCTTCCAGGGGCTTTAGCCCATTGCTGTGACAAATACTTAGGAACCTAAAACAAAATAAAACATTATTAGACTATATTTTGGATGCTAACAAATCTTTTTAAACATAAAGTGATATAAGGCTTCAATTTTACTTTCTGCCTGTAATAACTGATCATCAAGTTCCAAGCTCTGGTGACACAAAACTAAAACTGGTCAAATAACTTGACAATAATGAATTTATGTTCCCAAATAAGTCCAATAAAAGTTCAGAGTTGAGAAAGGCTACCAGAAGAGGAAGGAGAAGGGAGCCAGCAGTGTCAGGTATCATGCTATCCATTTTACATCCGCTATCCCATTTAATCCTTCCAATCACCCCACAAAATTGCTACCACTCTCCTCATTCCATAGATAAGAAAACCAAGGCTCAGAAAGGGGAAATAACATGGTTAGTTAGTGTCAGACACAGGTTAGCTAGTATCAGACATAAGAGACTCCAGATTGGTCTGGTGTTCTCTTTGCTACACCACAAACTAATAAAAGCATGTAAAAGACCCTACGGGAAAGGGGGTTTTGAAGATTTCCCCTACACTGCATTCCACTTATTCACACAAGCTTAGAAGATTTGGCAAACTCCTTATGATAATTGTAGCTATCACCTATCAGATCTCCTTCGATTATCAGTGAGAAGAAAACCCACTTACCGATACAGTGGATTTACTGACAAAGGTAACTAAGAATTCCAGACGTAGTTTTAAGTGGCTTGATTAAAGGCTCAAATAATGTCACCAGGACTCTTCCATCATCTATTTCTTCTCCTCACAACATTGACTCACTTTGACAGCCTTCCCCCTTATGCAGCAAGATGGCTAAAGCTACTTCTGAAGAACAAGAGTTCCCTTTCCCAGAAGCCCCAGCAAAAACATGATTGTCTCTTGTGGCTCTGACCAGGTCATATGTCCTTCCTTGGGCCTGTAGCTGAACCCAGAAGTGAGATCCTTTCACTGTTCAGACTGAGTCAATGACACCTTTGGAGAGGGAGAGTCAACACCATTAGAACCACACAGACCGGACAGGGGGAGCAGTGGTTTCCACAAAGCAAATTCAGGGTGCTGTTACAGTGTCAGAGCAAGAGGACACCAGTTAGTCAAAGAAGCAAATGTCCACAACACTACCTGTCAGAACTAAATAAAGATCTAAAACTGATCTGGACAAATCCTGTTACAACACCAAATAAAACCTTGAATCCAAATAAATTATTACCTCATGGCCTCAATCCTGAAACACTGCCTAAGTTGGCCTTTGCTTCTTGCTTTGTCTTTGATTTTTAGCCCCAGGGAATCTTCTTGTCCATTACACTAATCAAAGAGAAAATTGTGTTCTACAGATCGACTATTCTACCAATCAATCTCAAGCTGTATTCCCTAATAAAGTCCTTAGAGAAAAGACACTCTCTTCATCTTATTTCAAGCTACTGATTCAAATGAGGCCTATATTTAGATACTGTAAGACTTTCTCATTATCAATAACAGTACCCTTTCCATAATCTGTATTTCAAGGAACCATCTGACCACTGTCTCATAACTTCCTGGCCGTCTCCTCAGTACTTTGACTCCAACTATTCTCCCACCCCTCAAATCACTGACTCCAGCATCTTTACTCTGTCCTCCATCTGCTTATGTCCTCATGTCTCTCTTTAATGGAACTACATTTCATAGCCCATCATTACAACCATTCCCTTGGCCCTAACTCTCTCCATCATACTGGCCTGGCTGAACCTAATCCTGATTACAGCCACTTATTTTATTAATTTATCTGTTTATTGTTTCATTTGATTGTGTGTTGATGGCGGTGGTGGCGACAGCTATCACTCATAGCGCTTAATAAATATGGCAGAAGACTCTAAGATGGCCCCCAGGGTTCCCCACCTCCTGATACTCACACCCTTGTGTAATCGCCTCTCCCTGAGTGAGGACAGGACCTGTAGCTTGCTTCGGATCAATACAACATGGCAAAGGTGATGGATGGGATGGTCCTTCTGTGATTAGGTTACATAAGATTGTGACCTCTGTCTTGCTTCTCTCATTGTTTTCTCAGTTTGCATGCTCTGATGAAGTAAGCTGCCATTTGGAGAAGCCCACGTGGTAAGAAACACAAAGCAGGCTCCATCCAGCAGTCAGCTAGGAAGTTAGGCCCTCGGTCCAACAACCCTGGAGGAACTGAATTCTGCCAACCACAGAACCCTGGAAACAGTTTTTCCCCAGTCACAACTTCAGCTGAGAATCCAGCCCTGGCTGACACCTTGATTACAACCTGTGGGAGACTCTAAAGCAACAGACCCAACTAAGCCATGCCAGGCCCCCTGATTCAAAGAAACTGTGGAATACATGTGTACTATCTTAAGCTACTAAGTCTGTGGTGATATATTATACAGCTATAGGTAACGAATACATCAAGTGACACTCTTTGAAATGTTTTAAATGTATTAACCATTTAATGCTCACATAATCCTATTATTTTCTCCATTTCACAAATGAAGAAACTGAGGCACAGGGAGGTCAGCAAACTGACTCATGATCACACACCTAGTAAGGGCAGACCCTATAATTCTTTCCACCCACTGTTGCATTTCTCTGCCTCCCTGAAGGAGATGTCTGCTGGCTAACTACAGTTCTTCCTCTGCCATTTTGTTCTATTCTAGACAGGCTGTCCCCACTCCACTGAAATTGGTGACCAAGGTTAAAAAGGTTCTCCATATTGCCAAGCCAAAGTTTAGTTCTCACCTTACAGACCTATCAACGATATTTGAGAACTTACTGTTTCCTCCTTCAAACACTTTCTTTAGTGGCTTCAAGTCACTACAGTCTCTCTTGATTTTCCTCCTACTTCTCTGGACTCTCCTTTTTGGTCTCTGCACATCTAGATTCCCATCTTCCTGGCTTCCTGACCTCAGAGGGCCTTGATTTCAGTCCTCAGACCCCTCCTCTTCTCTATCCACACTCAATCTCATGCAATCTCATCCAGTCTCTTGACTTCAAACACCATCTATAGAATGACAACTCCCAAATTTATAGCTCTCCCCTCAAGTCCCAACTGATATATCCAACTGCCTACTCAAACTCTCCATCTGAATACTCAGCAGACATTTCAAACTCAAAACCTCCTACCAGAACTGTTATTTCTCCCTCATAAACTTGTTCCTCCTGCAAGTAAAAGTCAACTCCATTCTTCCAGGCACTCAGTCTGAAACCTTGGAGTTACCCTGAATAGCTCTTTTTCTCACATTCCACATCCAATCAACTGATACAGCTTGTCAGCAACACCTTCAACTTATATCTGGACTCCATCTCCATCTCACCAATTTCAGGGTTACCATCCTAATCCAAGCCACCATCATCTCACGTATAAGTATTTTACTAGCCTCCTGATTTCCTTGCTTCTACTCCTGTCCATGTCCACTTTATTCTCAGTATAGCAGAGACAGCGACTATGTTAATACATAGGTCAGATGATACTGTTCTTCTCAAAGCCTTTCAACTTATTTAACAGACATCTACATAGTTCTTACTATGCACCAGGTACTCTTCTAAGCACTAAGTTCCCAGGTAAGCCTACCAGCTTCTTTAATTCAAAAGGTTGCCAATATACTATATGCCCTTGTAATGAAAAATAGAATACAAGGAGTAAGATAGTATGTCAACCATGCATAACTTTCTACACCAAGAGCTTATGGAAATGGGCTTCCCAGAAGTTCCAGTCCATTTACATTAAGTTGGGGAAAAAAAGAGAAGGAAAAGGAAAAAATAATGATGTATATGGTTCCAAGGCTCCAAAAAACATCAGCTGTCCAAAAAACAAGTATTTAATTAAAACATTTTATTTTTAAATAAAACTGTATATATTAAGGTATACAACAGGGTGATTTGATAGACACAGTGAAATGATTACAATCAAGCGAATGAACATGTTGTCTCCTCATATAATTACCTTTTTTTGGATAAGAACACCTGAAATCTAGTTAGTAAATTTCCCCAAAACACTCTTGTCAACATGTCACTTGTGAGATATCTGTGTTGTTTCTACTGTCTCCACATTTATTAATGAAAATCAGATGGAGACAAGATACTATGTACAACAGGGGATGCCTTTCCAGATTTCCCAAGACCAGGGACAGTGAAAGAAAATGACTCACTTAAGCATTATTTCCTCAGGGAAACAAACCTCCCTTGACCTCCTAGACTAGGTCAAGTTCCTTTGTTATTCACACTCCAAAACAATATTCCTTGCTTCAGTGTCCTTATCTGTTTGTAACTGTTTTCATTAGGACCAGTATTTGATGTCTATCTCCTGCAGTAGACGATGGATCCTAGTTTACAGAGCATGGGCCAGGTCTGTTCCTGCTCAGAGAGCCTAGCACAATGACTGGCAATCACTGAAAGCAGGCTGGATGAATCAACCCGCCCACCCATTCACTCAAGCTACACAGTAGTAAGGTCAACTGTGCCTCTGAAGTCAAGGTGCTAAGGTGATATATACAGACATCACTCCCTTAAGCTTGTTTGCCAACTTGGCTTCATCAGGTTATCTTGTTTTCCAACTACTAGTATCCAAAGCCCTGTTTCTCCCAGAGTACAAGCAAATTAAGGGCGCTGTATTACACACAACTTGTGACACCCATTTCCTTATTAAGACTGAAGGCCTTATTCCCCCAGCTGCTACGGGTGTGGCCACAGATAGCTCTCAGCTGTTAGCTTTGTTTGGAATTGCCACTACTGAAGAGAGGCCCTTTGGCCACGATCACAATCTCTTCCTGGGGCAAACCACTGCTATGACTGGCAAAAAGGGCATACCTCGCCGACTCAGGACAGAAGGAGGGCTCCCTGTGGAATCATCCTTAGCCTTCACCAAGACTGCCTCACATCCTCTGCCCAATCCCACTTAACTTCTTCTTCTTCCACAGGTGATGATCCCAAGAGCACACTGCCACAAACCCCTGTAGACTGAGAACCAGCTTCACAGGGAGCCCAATCTCTTATGGGTGGCTTTTACTTACATGTTTTCTTTAAGGTCAACATATGGAGCTGACAAAATCCAAGGTCACAGAAACAAAGTTCCTCACCTCACCCTTGTTCTCCAGGAAGATAACTCATCAACGAGACCTAAGGGGGTAAAAGACATTTCCTATTCCTGGCATAAGCTTTGTAGCCAAACAGATCTAAACTTGAATCACTGCTCCATGCTTAGGCAAGATAATTACCTCCCTAAACCTCAATTTCATCACCTGAAAAATGTAGGTAACTAGTACCTATGTCACAAGTTTGCTTTGTAAAATATTTGATACATTAAAAAACCTACATTTCTTTTTCTCCTACATGGCTTTGAGGGTATGACCCATTCCAGGTCATCTCTCCCTGGTATAAAGCTTTCTCTTTGGCCACCAATGTCCAATTGCTTACCTGTCTGTAAAAAGCGAAAAGTTGAGCTTGGTGGCATATGAGCTGTTGAATGGAAGACACAGTATTCACAGGGGCTGATGTCCATCCCTCCTGTCCTGATCCTCTCCTCCAACAAACATTAATCAAAATGCTCCTAAGAGAAAGGTTGACTAGGCTTGAAATACAACTTTTCTTCCTGGCTAGAAAGCTACTGGTTGGACCTAATGCAGTGCTTGTCAATACCTCCACCTGTCCATTCCCCTCCAAAAGATAGCGTTTCTTTTAATTCAGGTTCCAATATACCCATTGCTTACAAAAACTACACTACTCCTAAAAACCTTGCCAGCTTTATCTCTACTTCAGAACAGTCGACAGGAAGGGCCTCTCAGATTTAACTCATGAGAATTCAGCCATGAAATTAAAGTTTTTAAGAAACTTAACAAACCAAAGGTCCCTACATTTTACGTGAGTTTCAAAGACTGTTAAAATCACACCTTGAACATACATATGTCTTATGAAACCCTTCTAAGTAAGAGACAACACTTCCCAATATGAAAAAACACAAATACTGTGCTCACTAAAGGCTAATCAAAACTGCTATCTTTACAAAAAAATTATTGATGGTCAGTTTTACGAGACCAAGTCATGCTCTAAAAGAACACTCCAGTCCATGGCCTTTCTTTCCGTGAGTTCAGAGCTCTCTCAGCTCTCCCGCGAGCTCCCTAAGAGCTACAAACCTACAAGAACACTTTAAAGGTACGCAGGGGCCAGTTCTACTTTGAGAAAACTGTACAGGAAGCAGCCACTCAACTTCCTCATACAGACTCATAACTAAAATCAGTTTCACCAAGAGGAAATACAGAAATTCTTCAGCCTAGGGTAAAATACACCGCTCGAGTTGGCGGACACCAAGACAGGGCCCCAGAAAAACCAGGTCGCGTGGAAAGGAGATCCATTCCAGGTAGGTTCGGACTCATAACTGGCTGAAAGATACTGGGGCGTCCCTCAACTAATTTCTCCGTCTGCAAACGAGCCTAACAATGAGTCCAGCCTCTGAAGATAAGTGGAGCTCTAACGAGATGGTCGTAAAGAACTTTAAAAGGCGCACAGGGTGGGACGGTCTCAAGTCACTTAAACTACTTTAAGGAGGAGCGCAAACGGGAGCGGCGCAAACCTTACCTTGACCAGCCACACACCGGTGTTCTGTTTGGCGCCGGTCAGGTCGAGTTCCCCGCGCTCGGCCATGGGTCCGTCGCTGGCGGAGGCGTGTGGGCCAGAGCAGCGACCCCGGGAGCTGGGAGACTGCGCGACGAGGGACTGGAGCACAGGACAAGCCGCGGCCGGAAGCTGACTGCAATGAGCGGGGATCCACCTGCCGGGATGCCGGGAACCCAGGGAAAGAGGAACACGCCGCCCGGAGCCCGGAACTGCGCCTGCGCGCTGCTACCGTCAGTACGGCGCGCTGCTGCGGACAAACTTCCTGGCTGGGCAACTTCTTGAGTGGGCGTGGCAACTGCTGCTGGCTGTGCCTGAGTGATTGAAACACAGGGTGGGATGGGCCAAAACGACGGCGATACATCTAAAGACCAGGTCAGCATAGCTGAAGAAAAAAAGTGTCAAAACAGAAAAATGGGGTTTAAAGAGACAAAGGCTGTTAGTGTATGTCCAACCCTGGCCAAGAATAGATAGACAGCAGTTGGAAGACAGGGTAGGAATAACAAACAGAGAAAGTAAATTAGCACAAGTGGTCTCTATTGAGAGCCTACCCAGAGCACCTCCAGTTAAACAAGCAGAGCAGACCCCTTTCAGATTCCAAAACCCGGAGCCCTATAATGAGGCCAATGACAACAGACAAATCTGATTGTTAAACTCCCCCTGCTTGAAAAATTTTCTCTCTTTCTTCTTGCCTCTAAAATAAAATCCAATCCCCTCAACACAGATCCGTGCTACTCAATCCACCACACATCCAACGACACCTAACCCATCAGACCTTCCTGAACGCATCAGGATGTTCCTCAATTATTTGTTTTTTGATTGTCAGACTCCTACTTAGGTTTCAAGACTAATAAAATGTCACTTCCTATGAGACCTTCTAGCAGGCAGATAGCTAGATAGCTAGATATGAGCAGAGAGAAGGGGACACAGACCAAATGGCAGGAATTGGGTAGAAAGGAGGGGCACAGGCCAAATGCAGGAAACCATACATTATGTAAGTGCCAGGGGTCCCTGGGCAGAGAAAGAGAGACAGGAAACTTTGGGCTGATAAGGGGTCACACCTTTTGCGGTGATGAGTGGCCTGGAGACCGACAAAGAAAGGTGAGAAAAGGCAGGAATTTCCAGTGTCCAAATGTAACCTTTTGCTCATCATGTCCTCATTTCAATAAAATCAGCCTTGCAGATTAGAAGTATCCATTGTGAACCGCCATGACACTTCTGATCCAGACTAAATAAGGACAAAAATCCTTCCTCTCTTTGGAAAGGTGGAGTTGGGATGATAATCAGGGAATACGACCCCAAACCCTTCCCTCCCCAATGAATATTCCGCCCATTTATTTTTACACCCAATGCAACCAATTTGCCAAAGAAACACAGGGCAGCTGTTCACTTGAGCCCACCTGCTCTCCCCTTGAGAGTGCCTATCCATCCTTTAATAAATTCTAACTTTATTTTTTTAACCACTACATCTTGCCTCTGAATTCTTTCTGGGAGTGGAAAAGAACCTGGTACACCGGTTGCATCCACTGGCAACACTTCTATCAACTCCTCCAGAGGAAGATCGTTTCTTTTCACACCACTGTGTGTAATACTTAGCACAATATGCTATAATATACATGTTTACATGCTGCCTCTGCTTTCTAGACTATGAGCTCCTCCTAGGCAGAAATAATGTTTTATTCATTTTTTATTCACAATGTCTATCACAGTGTTGACGCCTTGTCAGATCTCAATAGGCTTTGACTAAATGAACATTTGCTGGAAGAGAAACAAACAGTAAGATACTGTAAGAATGACAAGTAATGTGTTGAATCCCGCCTGAGAACCATGCACACAACTGAAGAAGAAATTCTATGTCTATGCAGCATAGGACTAGGGAAAACAGTCAGGTCTCAGAGATCTGCTGGGAAAACTAATAGGGAAAATGGGAGATCACGCATGTGTTGAAAATGAAGATTGCATTCTGTGTCACAGCTTGGGACATATAAAGGACAAGTGGGTAAAAGAGCTGCTTTAAGCTTTGATCAAATAGAAGGAATAAACTGAAATATGAGACCATGAGAGGAGAGAATTAACATAGCCTGGATAACCCTAGTAATGAACTTTAAAGGATTATTACCTTGGCCTTGATCTATGGCTTATGGAAAGCCTTAAAGTGTGTGTGTGTGCGTGTGTGTGTGTGTGTGTGTGTGTGTGTGTGTGTGTTTACAGGGGTTGGGGGAAGAGAACAAATGGCCCAAGAAGAAATGCCTAGAGAAGGAAGAAAAAAGGGAAGATTCTTAAATGATTATATAAGGAAGAAGGAGTAAGCAATTTATTGAGCACCTCATCCTCACACACTTTTGAATAAAGAACTTCTCCTATCTGTCCTTTCCAAATTTTCTTACAGCTTCAAGAGGATGCTTATGAGCTGTGAGAGAAAAGGAGGACATGGGCTGTGTGAACCAGCATCACAGATTTACTCTAGAGACTAGCAGGGTAACAGATACTGCAGCCAGATCCTTCACCCTCCTAAGGGCCTATTGTATGCCAGACATCAATAATTTTGGCCCAATCCAGCATTAGGTTCCTTCCACCATGATCCTATGCCCTTCTCACACAGTTTCCCTGGATCTCTGCTTGTGGTCAGTTTGGCATATCCAATGCAGATATCCCAGTCATGCCAGGGACTATTAGTGCTCTCATTACTACTGGAAGTAGAGTCATTGGCATATTTAAATCTAATCAGATTAGACAGCCAGTTCCAGGAACCTAGAACCAATTTAGAAAACTCATCCTTAACTTTCTGTTCCTCTAGAACCACTCTTGGTACCGAAGTCTGAATTATTCAGAGTTCTCCAGAGAAATACACACACATACACATATAGATAGTTGGATAGATAGATAGATAGGTAGGTAGGGAGATAGACATTTACTACATAGGAATTAGCTCACATGATTATGGAGGCTGAGAAGTCCTAAGATCTGCAAGCTGGAGACCAGGAGAGCTGATGGTATGTTTCCAGTCTGAGTCCAAAGACCTGAGAGGCAGGAGAGACAATGGTGTAAGTTCCAGTCTGAATCTGAAGGCAGGAGAGGATTAATTTCCCAGCTTGAAGACATGCAGAAAGAGTGAATTCTCCCTTACTGAAATCTTTTTCCTATTTAGGCCTTCAACTGATTGGATGAGCTCACCCATACTAGGGAGGACAATCTACTTTACTCAGTCTACCAATTCAAATGTTAACTCATCCAGAAGTATCCTCAAAGACACACTCAGAATAATGTTTGACCAAATACCTGAGCAACCTGAGGCCCGGTCAGGTTGGCACATAAAATTAAACATCCCAAACAGATACAGAGGTCAGCACCCAAAAAGGTAACTCCAAAATTCTTTACTCTCCCAGATGATTGACTAGTCAAGTTCTTATTAAATCTCTTAAGGCACAAATGTAAACCAAGGAGGGAAGGCGCAAGAACTCACTGTTGGCTGAAAACTTTCCAAAAAAATCCAGTAAGGAATCCCCCGTGTCTTGTAAACTGAGAACATGATAGTTCTATCAAGAAGCCATTAGAGTCTAGGCAGCAGTAATTAGAGGAGAGGCTACAGGTGAATTGAAGGAATTAGGATGATATTAACAGTAGCTGAATCCACTCTCAGATTTTTGTCCTTGGCTGTCCCATACCAGCCCAGTGTCCCTCTAGGCCAGAGATTCTCTTTGTTCATACTTAGTCAGAAACATTCCAGCAAGAAGAATTACTACCTCCAGGGGCGTTTACACTGGCAAAAAACAAAAAAAAAAAACCACAAAAAATCCTACTTTTTTTATTTTTATTTTTTATTCCAGTTTTATTGAGACACGGTCGACATACAGCACTGTGTAAGTTTAAAGTGTACAGCATAATGATTTGACTTAACATATATCATGAAATGATTATCACAATAAGTTTAGTGACCATCCATCATCTCATATATATATCAAATTAAAGAAATAGAAAAAAAATCTTTTCCTTATGATGAGAATTCTTAGGACTTACTCTCAACAACTTTCATATATAACATACAGCAGTGTTAATTGTATTTATCATGTTGTACATTACTTCCCTAGTGCTGATTTATCAAATAACTGGAAGTTTGTGACTTTTGCAAAATCCTTCTCAGTAAGCCAGATTTAATATTTATTGTTTATCAACATAAAGATTTTCATTCAAAAATTGCAAATGAATGTGGCGTAGTGATAATTAATTAGATTTCCCTTACATTAGTGATGGTATAAATAGATAATTTTTCTTCAGTATCACACCAAGGCCGTAAGGCCTCATCCCTGAATTCTCCCTGCCTCTCCCTTCACCCCCTCAGTTATTTCACAGAATACATGCCTTCCCTTCGGTAGGCTTTGCTTCCCCAGTCACGCACAAACAAGAAATATTCCCTAAAATAATTTCCATATTGTTAGCATGTGCACATGGTTGAGCATGAGCTGTGGAATCAAACATAGTTTCAAGTCATAGCTCTGTTGCCTACCAGCCTAATTATTTTATCATCTCTGCATCTATTTCCTAGCTAATAAAATGGGATTATTATTCCTACCTCATAGAGCTCTTACATGGTTAAATGAGAAAACAAGTCAAAATGACAACACTACAATATGAAAACTATTTGGTAACTACATTAATTATATTGGGTCAAATAATTGAAAGGAAGCACAGAAGTTTTATCAGAGGCAGTGATGTGCTGGTAAATGGTTAACAACTGGCTTTTTTTAACCCCTAGAAAAAGCCCTGGTTTGTAACATTTGCCTGATTTGCAGTATAGGTTGGATGAGGTGCATACTAGCATGCCTTCAGGCTTCACTCTAGGGATACATTAGATGTAAATAACTTCAAGAGCATAAATTATTGTAAGATACAGTAAAATAATTGGGAAGTGATGAGTTTTTGGTGTTTATTAACCTTGTGTTCAATGCAATTTATTTAATTATTAGTGTTCTGGAAAAAAGGGAGTAGCATCTGCAAACCCCAAAGGAACCGACCTGTGTGTTGGTGTCTGTGGAACAGAGGGGATGCCAGGGGGCAGGGCGCTGTGAATGTGGGGGAAGCAGTGACAGTGTCACCAGCCTGAGATGGAATGGGAGGTCAGCCCATGTAAGGCCTCAGAGGTCTGCTTCAGATCAAATAGAAACCAGAAGAAGATTTTTAAGCTTGAGTATAAAATAACCAGATTTACATTTAAA